TTACAACCTGGACCATTCTACTCAGACCATCTGAGCACAAAATCCATTTTCTCTTGAATGCAGTCTATTTTTCCCAGCATTGATTTCAGGAAAACCCTTTAGTCCTTAGATAGTGAGTCAGTTTTTCCATGGAGTATATTTCCTCCACAATGTCCAACCACTGTCCTAGACTTGGAAGGTCACATTTCAACCAGCACCTGGTGATGGCCTTTTTACAAGCGAGGATCAGTATTTTGAAGAGGTAGATATCCTTCTGGATTATGTCATTAGGTATCAGTCCAAGGTACACAATCCAGGGGTCCCTGGGAATCTAGTAACCTAAAATATCCTCATGGTTCTGCAGAACACTGTCCAGAAATGTTTGTCCAGAAGACATGGAAGTGATTGGCATTCATTTACCTGCACTGCCTCCAGCATTGCTCCTGATTGCCCAGTTGTTTATTCTTTATGTTGGGCATAAGAAAAAAGGATTAAGTTCTTGCAACCAAATTCCCTCCATCTCTTAGAGCTTGTGGGAAGTTGTTGCATTCTACACATGGGACGCCAACCTCTGTCCGACTGTTTTCTCCCTTTAGGTCTATATATTGTTTAGCTCCTTCTAGCCTCTCCATGTAGCTTGATTCTCCAGGGAGCACCAACAGACCAAGTATCTCATTTGGGAAGCATAATAGTATTCTCTGAGGTTTGGAAGTGTGTTGCGATATCCTGTGATTTATACTCTATATATTTACCTGTATGATTATTAACTAGAATAGCAATATGTATACTTGTGCTTGCATTGATTATGCTTACATTGATAAAGGGCTGTTAAGGGAATACTAATAACAGAAATAAAGTAATGAATATTAGGTTTGTATGATGTGTTATAGAATTGTAACTGACTAATGAATATGAATAGCAGACACAGTATAAGGGAGAAGAGTGTGGGTAGTTGCAGATATAACATGACATTCTTTGGGAGAGATAGCGGTAAAGACAGCCTCCGAGGTCAGTATCAGGAGCTCGTAAAACAATGATGGAACACAAGACGGACTCCTTCCAGTCGTGAGAAACAACTCCATATCTGGAAGAGAGAGCACGAAGTGTACGCATAGGTTTGAATAATATGTGTGTAGGTTTAGACTTCATGTCATTGAATGTCAGAAAAAGAGGCCGTTTTTCCCTTCGATGAGTTCCAGGTTGTGGTGATCCCATCGACACCATCCCATCAACACCATCCTTGGAGACAAAATACCAAGAGGACAAGGGGTGGAGATTCTACCATCTTGTGCTATGTGTGTTATCTGCAAAAATATAAGAACTAATGTTAGGAACAAGAGGTGGCTCAGACTTCGTGAACTGGCAGACCTTGTGCATGTCAGGTTGATCGTAGTTGAACCCAGAGCTCTGTTCCTTTTGTACAATATACTGGTGTTAAGAATAAAGCTGATTCTTGAGTAAACTAAATCTTCTCATATTGCTTCATTAAATGGACACGCGAGGAATGAGTGTCTGAAATACAGAGATTCCTCAACAAGTGCTAGGCCTCCCTTTTCTTTGTCAATTTCTTAAATTTTACCTTTGGCCTTGCTCCTGCCCAGATAAACCGGGATACCGACATTATCTTAATTAAGAGAGACATTAATGAGAACATCCTGTAAGGCTGCATTATATTGTAAGAGTCAAACCAATCAGCTGCTGACATTCCTTAATCTCAACCAAGGCCACAAAGTACAAGTACTCCACAGGAGACTTGTGGTTGCTGCCACCCATGCTTAATGATGTCACATCCTCCCTGGCAGGGCACAGCTTCCTGCTCTTCACCCTCTGGCCTCATCATCCCTCATAAAAGACCAACAAAGAGCAAACAACACAGTAAACCAACACAGCCTTGTAAAACACACATAGACACAGATGCACACACACACACACACACACACACACACACACACACACACACAGTATTAACACACTCACATTCCATAGCAGGGTGCTCTAACACACCCTCTAGAGTCTTGTCCTTTGATGTGAGTGTGGGAAAGCTCAGGGGAATGGTCTTCGTGGGGGAGGGAGAGAGAAAGGGAAGGGACAGGAGGGAGAAGAGTAGATACATGAGAGCAACATGGTGAGACGGTGAGAGATACACTGGGAGCGGGATGGGAGTAGAGTCGGGGGTGGGTGGGAGGGTCAGTGGAAGTTGACCCCCGGAGCACCGAGAGGTCAGTCTGTTTAAACAGGGGATGGAAGCGGTAGACACTCACACACACAGTGCATGCTAATTAACAGACTGGTACAGGAAAGGATTTTTAGATCAGATACAGTGATTTGCTGCTAAAAAGTAGCACAAATAAACACCCATAAAGTAGTAGAAGCAAAATAACACAGCCAGACTCAGGAAAAAAGCATTGAATAAGAGAGAGAGAGAGAGAGCAGGTAAAGCATATCACATAACTGACAGATATACTGAAAACAACCAAAAGCACTTTTCTATATTTCAGAGCAAACATGAATTATTTGAATGTGCACCGTGCAGCTCTAAAAAGGATTTTATATGCCCTGAGGTTATGGAATTTGTTGGGTATAATAAAATTATATGTAAACTTTCAGTCCAAATAAAAGAGCGTAATCCAGCCAGTAGCATTTAGCGGTGGTGTGGCTAATGAGCAGTACTTAACGTCAGTCCAACAAATACAATCACCTCTTTGCTGTTCCAGGTTTACTTTAAGGTAGAGGGAGACAGATGAGGAGAAGTGTAAAAGAGGGAACGAGGATGGAGTCTAGAGGAAAAGAAGTGAAGAGAAGACGAAGACTGAAGGTTCATATGAAAGAATGTCTTTTGGCTGCTGTGTCGACGTCTCCAGGCTGGTTCTGCCTTGGCTGAGTGTGTATGTGCATGCATCTTTGCATGCACGCACCGCAGTGCAGCAGCTAAACAGAGGTTACTTTATATAAAAGCTGGTTCCTGGTTGTGCCCTGAGGTCTCTGTAATCTCGCTCTCTGTCACACACACTTGCACATAAGCACGCCAAAGTGCAAACACACAACTACACAAGCATGCGCAAACCCGGAGCTCTGAGGTCTCAGTAATCACACCGAGTCTCTTGTCTAAAGACCGACTCGATTCGCCTTCAAAACACACTGCCACACTCCACCTCTCATTAAACCCAGTGACCTCCTCCAGAGAGAGAGACAGAGAGAGAAGAGAGAGCAAGAGTTTGTGTGTTTGTGTGTGTGTGTGGCCCTCCACATTAATAATATGTGCATTCAAACATGACCCCAAGCCCTCAGCCACCTGCCCAATCAACTGTCGTCGACTGTAGTAAAAGGTACTAAAAAAAAAATGCAGACACATACACACTGTGCCTTCTATGCTAAATTTTGCATGCAAGTGCACAAATGCACCCACACAAATAAACAGACAATCGCCAGAGCCCAACTACGTCAATACTGTGTCTTTTTGCAAATCAGTGTCTGGTATCCTGTTCATCTTTTCCCTGTGTGCAGTAAACCGTTCTTTCATCCATCTTTTATCCATCTATCCACGAGTCACTGATCCAAATCTCTAAATTTCTTTGTCAACTCTATCTGCACATCTTAGAAACAATACATGATAGGTTGGACGGATGCAATCTGGCATTATCTGTGCCTCTGAGGCCCGCCTGAGTCGATCCCTCCGATTTCAGGGAAAAATTGAATTACACAGTGGGCAGAGAAAAGGAGGCGGCTGTAATTAGTTACAACATAGAGTACGGGGTGGTGGTGGGTTTTTTTCTGGAAAGTTGAGAGGGGTGTCCATGTCTAAGCCAAAACTGATCTCACTCAAAGAAAATCATCACACAAAAGGGCAAAGAAGGAGTGAGAGAAGAAGAAGCGAGAGAAAGACAGAGGGAGAGAGATTGAGAAGAAAACAAAGGCGCTCTTTCAACGTTTCAGAGTAACAGCTTACTCTGGTGACATCATCAAAGTGAGACACGAGTTGGGGAATTCCCGTGTTACTGCCACCTCCATTCTTCTTTAAGAGCCCATAAGTGGCTTACATTTCCAGGCTTTTCATGTACTAATATCAGATGCAGCCAGAGAGTGAGACCATGGTTGCTCACTCTGTCAATGACTATGCTTTCAACTAGTGTTTTTAATTTGAAGATAACACACTTTAATGCAAGCATTTCCCCCCTCACTTCCTTTTCCTCACCGTTACTGCTGCATCATTGCCTGCACTCCTTAAATACCACAATGGAAAAATGTGTAACATTTCGGAGGATCTATTAGCATGGGAATGGAATATAATATTCATATGTTTGTTTTCATTTGTGTATAATCACTTGAAAATAAGAATAGTTGTGTTTTCGTTAGCTTACAATAAGCCATTTTTCCATACGGGGAAAGCGGGTCCTCTTCCACCGAGGCCACCATGTTGAACTGCCATGTTTCTACAGTGGCCCAGAATGGACAAACCAAACACTGGTTCTAGACTTGGCCTTTTGTGGCCACCGCAGTTTTTTCTACATACTTGGAAGAAGAGGGTGAGGCAAGTGTTTGCAATCTGCAATTACACCACTAAATCCTACACACTAGTCCTTTAATGAGTATTCTGGAGTTTTTGTTTTCACCAAGGTCAATCAAACATTACTGCTGATTTGAAAGGCAAACACTGGTATAAAGAAGGCTGATTTTAAAAAGTAATATTACTGCTGTATGGTAATGCAGTTGAGAGAATGGATGATATAGTGCCTTCATGTGCTGGAGGAAAGTTACAAAATCCTAGCCAGCTCCTCAACTTTGCTGAGTAATGATGATGGATGTCATTAAATGGATAATTTAGTAGTTTCTTGCATTAAAAGCTTTCCAGTTTCGACAAAAGCACATAAAAGCCCCATTGTGCTTTGTCAAAATTTGAAATATACTTTTAAGACTATTTTTTCTCCTGTATCACCACAGAACAAAGAAAGTTATATTCCCCTCAAAGTGACGCATGGCCACAGTGGTAATATGACTATATAATAACGTATGATGAGACTGACCCTGGATGCATTGCAGTGAGCCGTCCTCTGCCCGGATGGTAAACGTCTCCCCCGGGTTCACCTGCACCAGGATCACCTGTTCAAACACACACAAACAAAAATCCCACAGTTAACAAGCACAAATCAGATTAACTGAGGGTGGCAATAGGAAAAATCACTGTCACACATAATGCCATAAACATACATTCATCTTAAACCATCACAAAACAGGACAGACTCTCTGCTTGGCAGCCAATAGGCTTGCAGAGGTGACATAACACACAGTAATCATCGGATCCCAGAGTAGGGCGGACACAGAGAGTTCACACACATATGAATGAGGTATTAGATAAGCTAATGGTGAGACAATGCTGCCGTCTCACACACCCCCTGATCTGAGAAAAGCCTTTCTCTTTTAACCACACTGACTGGCAGGAAACCACTGAAACCAGTACACACAAATACTACACACGTAGTGATGCATATATCACAGCTGTGCCACACACACACACACACACACACACAAAGAAGCCAAAATATATGACACTGTTCGGATTTCCAAGTGTTTCTGCTGAATATGCCGGAAGGGAGTATGCATGCACCTTACCGTCATATTCTCCGCATACAGATTGTTGAGAGTGTACACATGGCTGTAGACATGAAACAGGTGACCCTCCATTACACACACATGTATTCACACACACATGCATGCACACACACACAGCACAGCCTCGTCTATGCTCTACAGGTGTGCCGTCGTAAAATCCTCATATCCTGCGTTCCTCCTGTAGTGTCTGCATGCTCTCCCATCTCAGTGCTAACCTGCTCCTCTCCCTCAGACACACACACACACACACACACACACACACACACACACACACACACACACTTCCTGCTCTGTCTGCTGCAGCGGCTGCTGTTGCTATGGGAACCCCAGCATAGTACAGGGCGACCCATGTTTCCCAAGGACTGAGAAAACCCCCATATCAGACCATGTGGGTGGATGCGTGTGGAGTGACTGTGTATATGTGCTTGTGTTATGTATATATCTATCAAACCCAAGATCATAGTATGTGTAAAATGTGCAAAGTCATGCACGTTTCAACATATTTGTTATGTTTTGAATCTTTAATCACTGAAGCTGTAATTATCCATTCAGCTAATGGTTTGACACGTTCGAAAAAACCTTTAACTTTAAGTTAGAATAAAAACTGTGACTGTGAATAACTGTGGTTTTGAGTATGAACACTTCTAGATTTTGGTGCAAAATGAACTTACAGCAGATAAACTTTTTCTTCTTTTAAAGCAGATCCTTGCCTTCATTCATGTATAAACAAGTTTGTTTGTATAAACATGTTTTGTCAAGTCACATAAAGAGCAAAAACACGATTTTTATTTAAGCATCTTCTGAGAAACAGATTTTTTTTTCTAGTTGACATTTTTAATTAGTGGGGCTGCCCCCTAATAGTCGACTTAACTTTCAACGCACTTTTAGTGAGTCTGATAGTCGCAGAAAAACAAAAACAACGTCAAACTAGCATATGAGCAGGTCGAAAATTTTCAGGAGAGAGATGAAACAGAGGAAGAGAAGCAAGTTTGTAACAAGTTCATTTGTAAGTAACTGTTAACTTTATACATCATCCATCATACGTATTCTACAAGCTCCTCGCGAGACTGTGTGATGTTATACTGCGGTTCAATACATTAAATGTTCAGTCTCCTTGCTGGTTGTTCTGACACTATTTAGATTAATTACCGCTGTTAAATATATATATATACTTTAAAACATTTTTTATCATAAACGTGCACGACTAGTCGACTTTTGACTTTATTTAATGACAACTAGTGGACTAGGAAAATATTAAGTCGGGGGCAGCCCTATTATTAACCTATTAACATTTTCAGGCAGTTGAGAGCTATTAAAAGTTTATAGAGAGCCAAACTAAAACCAAAACATCCAAGTTCTGTTCCAGAAGTAAAAACTCCTAAAAAGTTAGTTTTTTTTATTATTATTTCCAGATTAGTAAGAATCCAGCCATGCAGCTTATTCCATTTGTTCACAAATGGATCGTAAATCTTTAAAAAAAAAAAAAAAAGATAATAAAAGGGCCAACAAAGTAACCACCAGATAGTGCAAAATTAAACCTCTTACTGGCTACACTGTCGCATCTTATCATTTAGCCACCCATATTCCAGCTTTGGCTAGCTTAGATGTGATGGCAGTCCATTGGCTCTGTATAATATTTTCACCATATTGCATATCCCTTCACTAAATATTGTAGAATGATATACATATGCAGCCAAACAATGTATCTGATGCTGCCTTTGCTTTGCATCAAAGGAAGACACAGACACACATAAACACAAACATAAACAGGTGTGGGCAGGTAGACACAGATAGTCAGACAGGAAAGCTGAGAGACAAGCAAGCAGACAAACACAAACACAGAAGTATGTATTCAGACTCAACACAGACACTCGTGTGCCCACACAGACACTGAAAGGGAAAAAGAAACACACACAGTGTAAGGCAGACCAAGAAACAAACAAATACACACAAACATGGACACACGCATGCAGAGTCAAATCTATATAATCATCGGTGTGATTCCACACTGGGAACCGAGTTTAAACTGCAGGGTGTTACAATAAAAAGAGCTCCTAACTGCTGTGTGTTACAGCCAAAACCCTTCCTAACTGTTATGTGTCGCAGCCAAAACACTCCCACCATGCTTCCTCTGGGCTATGAGGGAACAGGCCGGGGATGATACATAAACATCATCATCAACATCTCTCATCTACCCAAAGCACATGGTGTAAAAATGTATCAGTGACAACGGGATTAGACCCAGGTCAATTAACTGTGATGCCTTCAATTACAGTTTGTTTCTTTTCGTCTGTGCAGAGCTCGGGTGGGGATTTATACTTTGAAGGTGATCCAGTTGGCTCAGCAGCTTTTGATAAGATCAGTCAGTCTCAGAAAAGTAGTTGAATCTTTTTCCAAAGTAATTTAAGCTAAGGCCCAGGATCCATCAATAGAGCCAGTTATATGCAGTCTCTAGGACTGAATGATGTGATTGTATGTGCCTGCATGCCAGTGTTCATTCTTGTTCCTGTTATATGACAAATGCTTTACGGTAACCGCTGTTTATTACCTGTGGCAACAACCCATGAGCAATGTGACGAAATGACAGCAAAGAGAAGTGCCCGCAAGGCTGTTTGATGTGTATTCTTGCGTGCTACTGGTTAGTGTGAGTGTATCGCAACCCAGGAATGTTGAAAGAAGCATTTGCAAGAATAACTGAATGCAAACGTCAGACGTGTGTGCGTGTGTGTGTGTGTGTGTGTTCTTTGTGTGCGTGTTTACCTGCTGCGCTGCATCACCGTTAACCATGTGAGACATGAGAGGGACCTCCCCGTTCAGGAGGGGGGGCGGAGCCAAGTCCAGTGGAATCTGGTCTGTCATCATCATTGTGACGTACATTCATGGAGAAATTCACTGAACTGCCCTACCTGGGAAAGTACAGAGAGAGAAAGAAAGAATGAGAAACAGGTGACATCAGTATTGATCAGATATACACTCATACACAGTGACATTGTGACATTCCCATTGTGTCACCATGTAAAGTACAGAGAATAGTTTGACATGTAAAGTAAAAACCTGATTCTGTGTTTTTTCCTGTGCTGGTTTAAAGCAATCAAACAGGATTCCAGAACATCAAAAAACAAAACATCAAAAAGGAAAAAGGGAAGCGTGATCTGTACTGCCTGCTACTGTTGGTCACATGTTACATTGTTTTTCTTGACAACAATTTGATGAGAACACTGACAATACTCTCAAATATGAGCTGGAGCCAGCAGCTATTTAGAATAGCTTTGCAAAATCCACCTATCAATGTCTCTAAAGCTCACGTTTGTTTGATCCGTACAAAAACTGAGATCGAAAGAGACTAGCTGTCTCCCTAACCAGTTTTATTGCTAGGCTAAAGCTGGTGGCTAAAGCGGTCTCAATCCTCTATGTAACTCTTAGCAAGCATATAAGCTTATTTCCCAAAATGTCAAACTATTCCTTTAACTGTTGTGCAATGAAATATGAGGCCAGATTGTGCCAATCCTGCATTAGTCCAGCCTGCCAGTGTGTTTTCATCAATGTTAATTGTGCAATTTCCTCATCGACAAAACAATTTTCCACTTCATGCAAGCATGAAAACCTTTTTGCATTGTTGAGGAGCTTTTATTAAATTAGTCTGTTTCCTTTGGGTTTACTGTAGTCATGCGGTTTCCATCCCCAATTTTTCGATAAGCACTTGGATCCATACCCAGATATATTTCTAATAACAGAGGTGTACATGAAACATGACATATGTACATTGGAATATACTAGCATGTGCTTCAGAGAGGAATCTAAGGGGGTTTATTTGAACAAAAGGTGCACACAAGCAGAACAATGAGAGAGCGAGCTGGAAAGATAGAGATAATTGGCCCAGTCAACAAAAGGTTAGAAAAGACAGACTTGAACACAAGAAAATATTAATCAGAAGAGACAGAGGATATTACATTATGACAGTGTTTTTAACAGATTAACATTAGTGCTTTCCTAATATGTTGTTTTTCCTCTTATACTTTGCACAGGCATGTCAGCTTTGGTATAAAAAAAAACAACAAGTCATATCATGTCAATATAAAAGGAAAAAGATTAAAGAGGCAGTGGAAAACAGATGAGTGTAGTAGTAATTCAAAGCACTTCATCATCAACAATAGTCTTGTACAATACGGGAGGGATTATAGTGTATATCCTGTTTGAAGGATTAATAAAAAAAGAGCCATTGGATGAATAAGGTCTTAGTTTGGTAAGTGAATAGGGATAACTGCACCTGCCGGTAGCTTTGTGAACACAGCAGATTAGTATTCCATATAAAAATGTAAACACATAGCAAGAATAGGATGTCTTCTGAGGGCTTCTGGGGTCAGTTGTGTTGGCGCTTTTTGGAGAGTAATCCAAACAGCTAAATCTAGAGATGGTTTCTTTGCTTGCATAATAATAGCAGTAAAACCAAAAGCATAACTATGAAAAAAATAAAACCAACAACCAAGGCCATTCATCTTAAGTGGAAAATAACATGGCTTCAACTAATTAGCTATAGGGCAAAAACAAACAACGAAACCCTGGGCAATGTGGACCAGCCGTGCACGTGGTCCTCATCAGGGTTCTTACCAAGCTGCTGAACAGAGCTTTATCAGTCGAAATGTATGTGCTTACTCATACACTCGGCAAAAACACAACTGCTGATACATATGCTGTCTCCTGGGGGAATACACATTCATACACACATGCCAGCAGATACACAAAGAACACACACACACACACACACACACACACAGCCAGAGGTAGATTACTGAATGACGTAGGTGTTTCAATTCAACGCTGGTGAGTGAAACCACTTCGCAAGAGCTTCTGACTAATGGATATAAGTTGCTATTAGCACAGGCACACAAACCATGCATTAGGGATCTGCTTTTAATTTAAGTAAGTAAAAGAAATATCACTGATATTCATCTCTGACATACATAGATAATATGTGCACGTGCACCCACAGTGTTCCTCTGAAAACAGCTGTGTGTCATTGTGTGTCTTCTCTTTCAGCTGGTTGTCTTCTAGCACTGAGTCAAGGTCTTTGAAAGGGTTAGTAGATCACACAGCTGTGGCTCATACTGTTGCAACATAAACACACACATCACTCTATGTGTCTCTTTTGCCTTTCCGACTTTATCTCTTCATTTAATTGTTGATTTTTGTTCTTCCCCTGTCTTTAACTCTACTTCTTTCTCCATCTGAGCCCCGTTCCCAGCTCAGCCTGGCCATCCTGCCTTGAACACACACACACACACACACACACACACACATGCACAGTTGCGTCCAGGACACATCACAGACAGATGGTAACACCACTCTCCGTACTGCCAGGAAAAAGAGAAGAGCAAGACGGAGAAGAAAGGAGGGAGGAATAGAGAGGGAATAAGTAAATGAAGGATCGGCTTATATGATAAATAGGGAGCGAATGAAGAGGAAGACAGTCCAAGACATCTCTTCCAATGACCCTGTGTTCTTAAAATAACCCCTCATTTCCTGAAGAAATTCATTATATTTATACAATCATTTTTACTCATGAATACACATCAGCCTGAATCACATTAGTGTTGGTAAGGATATCAGCAGAAAGTCTTTCCTACATACAGGAAGTGAGGAATTTCAACTGGAAAATCTATTACAAGCAAACAAAATAAGGGTAATATAATGGAAGCTAATAATGTTACTGTACTTGAAAGCGAAACTGTCTACTTGTCAATAAAAGTAAGTTGTGCCATGTCTAAAGGATTAGTTCACAACAAATTTCCTCTACTTCTAGCAGTATACATCCATGCAGACATGAGTTTTCTACGGTGCTCTCAGCATTAAAATATTTAATTTTAAAAAATGAAAGAGGGTAAACCTACCCTTTAGAGAAAAAGTTTCACATTTTGTGAAATTCACTAGCTGATATTCAGATGAGAGGATCAATACCACTATCATGTCTGTACGTTTAATGTGAAGCTAAACAAAATCTGTCTACTAGCCCCAGTTATATCTGATTTGTTTAATATGTACAAAAGAAACAAGTATAAAAATGACATGTTTCAGTTCTTTTTCGAGGTTATGTGACGTACTAGTTCTTGGTTCTTGGTAAGGCAGGCTTACCGTTTCCCCCTAGCTTTCAGCCTTTATGCTAAGCTAACCATATATTGGTTGTAGCTTCATATTCACAGGACAGATATGAGTGGTATTGATCTTCTCATCTGACTCTTGAATAAGCATATTTCCCAAAATGTCAAACTATCCCTTGAATGAAGTTTAGGCCATCTACTGTACATCTACTCAGGTACTTAACCATAATCATAATATGGGTTAAGTACATCATACAACCCCACTTAAAAAAAACCTGAACTATCCCTTTATAGCAATCATAAACCAAAGTAGATAAACACAAATGTTTTGTGTTCAGCATACTGGTGTCTTGTTATGTAATTCCTTGGCATTAGCATCCTCTAAATTTAAACACTTAACCTTTCACTGCAATTTGGAGCAACTGATGTGTGAAATTGCACAGTGCAGAAGCAACTTTAAGAAACAAAAACTGGTTATCCGTTGGTCTACTGACATCTGATTTTGTGACTATTTGCCTTGTAAGGCTCAGACATGATGGAAGTTAAATGTAGGGAAAATATAGATGCACTTCTTTGTTTGGCAGCTGTTCTCTGTGGTGTGTTGCACATGTTTCCTGCAGGACCTAATGCACATATCTGGAAAATTTAATGTATCAATGAATGAATAATGACCTTTGTTTTCCAGTGGAATCATTACCAGATGGATGCTGCTGTTGATAGCTTCATACATCACCATGCACACACACACACACACACACACACACACACACACACACACACACACACACACACACACACACAAGTGGTTTCCGTTCCCCTGTGGAATGTGGGAGGAATAAGGTGTCGATTCCCAGCAGGGATAAAATGTTAAATTGAAAAATTCCATGTTGAATCCAGAAAACAATCACCCACTTGTCCGGGTATATGAATGTTTCTGTGTGTGTGTGTGTGTGTGTGTGTGTGTGTGTGTGTGTGTGTAGATGTGCACGCATGTACACGTGTCTGTGTCATTAGACAGAAAGCCCTGTGTAAGCATGGAAACTGCCTCTCTAACATAAAAGATGCATAGAGTAAAACACACACCGAGACACAGAAGCCCTAGATATTCAGGGGCAGCTCTGACCTCATAACACAACAGTCATTACTCATGCAGCCATTCATCATTCACACACACGCCCAATGACTCCAGTTTGTCCATCCTGATGAAGCATACTGGATATTCACAACCACCTAACAGACTGTCTGACTTACTTCCAGTCGAGTGCTTCACACCTCTCTCTCCCTACCATCATTCACACAGCAGTCGAAATACACACACACACACAAACACACACACACACACACACACACACACACACACACACACACACACACACACACACACACACACACACACACACACAACAACACAGACACAGACACTTGTGCAACCTCCAAGCAGCCAAAATCTATTGAGACTGGTATTACTTGCTCCAATTAAATTTGGTCTTGGAAACTAGTCTTGTATTTTTCATATTTAGCAAAAATAAATTCATATTACCTTAACAATACTCATAGAAAATTCAAATGATCTTACATGCTCTTATCAATGTGTACTTCTTTTGCTGCAAACAAATTAATTATTCATAAAAACAAACAGAAACTGATCTCATTTACACTTCCTCTTCTACCTCAAACCACAGAAGTTTTGCTGATGACGTAAAGAAAATGCAACACTGTGACAGCATGCCATTTCTACCAGCACCACAGCTGATATAAGGCTAACATACATGTATTTGTTCTACTTTCCTGCACTGCCGCTGCTTTTTTAA